CTGCATTGTAGCTGAATAAAAACTCGGATGTCGTAATGTTGTCGGTGTTGTACGATACATTTGATGATAAGAAGAAGCTGTTGTTGATGAACTTGTTGCTGATGGTTGGTGTGAATAAAAATCTGTATAGGGATTATAAGTAGCTGCTGCTGCTGCTGCTGCCGAATCAAAATATGAAGCAGCATCAAAAGGTAAAAAATAGTTCGTATGTGAATGATCCATATGATTCTCTATTCTTTTATTTTATTGTTAAATGACGACAATGTTTGACTTATTGTCGTTAGTAATCAACTTATATTTGCTTATTTCTCTCTCTCTTTTTTTTCTCATTTCGGATAAATAAGATGACAGAATGTGGTGAGCATATTTAACAAATTAAAGCAAGATGGTCGATCAATTTAAAGACAGTGCAAAAGAAAAGCATCGATCTAATCAATCAGATATTGTCCTTTTCATCTCTAGAGAAATGAACGAAGACTAACATATAAATGTGAAAAAAAAAAAAGAAAAAGAAATGCAAAGACAACATAGAAATAGTTTGCTTTTTTGATTTGTCGTCATCAATTTTTTGTGACATGTCTTGAACGAATAGAAGCAAAAAAAATTATAAAAAAAAAGAAATTGATTTGATGACTCGTTCGTTTAGCACTTATCAGCATATGATTAAACGAGTTTTCCAATGGGAGTCGATCTTTCAATTTGAATTTAGACTCTTAACGATTGACTAATCAACATATCTTCTTTTTTTCTTCTTCTCGAAACTTTTCTTTTTTCTTCTTATAAGATGATCATCTGTTCATTTTGATTTGTTTTGATAAATGAAATATTGATTTGAATTTGACATGAAATTCTTATAGAAGATTTATATACCTAAACGTTGCACGAATTGTATAGTTTTTTTTTATGATGTTCTCTTGCGAAGACGATCAATAGCTTTTAAAATAAAGATTCTGGAATATTGGCTTGATTTTATCTTTAGTATTTTATCTAGCATGGAAGCCGACAAGGCTATGCCTCTCCAATGGTCACGATAGTCCTTCTGGACTTTTAGATAGGTTCTTCGGAAGGGAAAATCTGTATTACACTTTGTTTATCTCATGTATTGTTTAACTTTTGTTTCTTTTTTAAACAACATTGTTAGTGGAACATTGAAGATTAAATTTTGCATATACAAATAAAAATAATTCGTGTCTTATATCAATTTGTATGTTTGAGAAATTGTGAGTTCTTGTTTTTATTTCATTTGTAGCAAAACAGAATGATTATTTTTAAAGATATTGTTTTTTGAAAATCTTGCACTTAGTTAGCAACTCATGAATTATATTGGCGTTAATATGGTCTCAAGGGTTATTAAAGAAAAAAGAGAGCGATAAGTATGGCAATTCTATTGATTTTATTAATAAATACCGAGTGAAAACTTTAGCAAGTTAGATTAACTATGTGAAAAAAGACTGTAATAAATTTCATAAAGGTGAACCAGAGCTTTGAATGTGCAGAGTATTCAATATCAATAAAAAAAACAATCTAATATAAACATAACGATTATTGAATTAACCATGAACATATACATACATTTCCCGAACAATAAAAATCATAATGATATATATCATATCTGATTGAGTCATTTAAATTTCGAATGAAGCGAGAAGATATGATTATCTTGCTTGTTCAGTGACAATAACCGTATTTTTGTTTTTGAAGTATCAGAATAAGTAGAACTCTTTTCATCACATAGATGCACATCGGATACTAATTTCATTCGACGGCAATGTTATTTATTTTCACCAATGACTAAGCAGAACATTTATTAAAATTTAAACACAACTTACACAGACATTTGTGCTCTACACATTTTAAGTACTTTTAATGATTACTATAGTTAAATCATTGCAATACATAGTGTTAAACATTTCTATACTCCCACACTGATTGTTCTTTTCAATACAAAAAAAAAAAAAAACAATATTTTTTTTTCTCTTTTGTTACAAACGATCAACTTCTTGTTTATTATATTATCATATTACATTAGATTTTACAAATTAACTCGGTAATATAACATGATTATCTATCATCATAACATTATCTTCTATTAATCCATCCTTTTTTCTTTTGAATTTTCGACTAATTTGATTTTTAACTAAACGATAAAATAATACAATATTTAAGATGCCAATTGAAGAAACACACATCACAGTAAATATATGAACTATTGAATCAAGTCGATTGCGTTGCACATATAATAACCATAAAGCAATAATAACAACACCAAAACGAAATATTATAAATGTTATGTAATTTCCAATATCAATATATAATTTGAGAGTTTTCTTATAATTACTTGATGATGATATTGGGGAATACCAACGTAAAAGTCGTCTTGCATGTAGAAAAACGCTATTAATTTCAAGCGAAAGAGCATATAAACCATAACCAATATTACGTGTACGAAGAAGTATATGTAAAAAAAATGTTATAACAATAATATGATGAATAAGAATAGCAAATGTTGATGATGTAGAATTTTGTAAGCAATCAAAAAAATCCCAAAAAAAATATCCAATACTAAAAGCAATTAATGCATAATTAAAAAAATTTATATGTGATAATGGATCATCAAACATTTCTGGTGCACGTAAAACAGCAATCACAATTAATATTGAACAAATTGATGAATGTATAAAACTAAGTAATGTATTTTGTCTTAACCAATTATTGTTACGATCATTTCGATCCTTAGGTTTTGACAAAGATTTTGTAGTTTGATCAATTATAAGAAAGAAAATAAATGATAATGTTGTATAAATAATTATCCATATTGAATTAATTGGTCGATATGGAAAAATATCTGTCTCATGAAAGTAAAATAACGTGCCCATGTGTATTATTTTATGTGAATGCAAATAGTGTTGGTTCTCTTTTTATATACCTAGTAACGACATTGACATACTGACTGTTGTGTCATTTGCAATCCACTTCAAATACACCGATGTATGTGAATATTTCTTATTGACGAGCATATTTAAGCATAAAAAGAACAGCTTCTATTTCCATTTTTTCTTTCCTCTCAATCGAAGGAAATAAAGTTGATTGACGAGAAAAAAGAAAAGGAATATTTAAAAGTAAAAAAAAAAAAGAGAGAGAGAGAAACCTTACCTGAGCGCAACGACAATTCATATATAATAAAATTATTTACATGTTTAACGTTTCACATAACGTGATGAATAAGCAAGACTTTCTTTCAATGGAATTGTTCATGGAATGAATCTATTTGTAATACTTTTTTAGGATGTATTTCAATGAATGAAGAAACAAGAATAATACTATGAATGATCAAATGTAAAAAAAAAAGAAAAAAGAACAAAATTCTTCACAAATGGAGAATTATTTATTCATGTCTAGTAATGATGTTCCCAGCGGATATATATATATTAAATAACATAGAACACAAATAGCAAAGATTTCATCGTATAAAATGGAAAAACCAATGAATCTGGTAAATATATAAACTAATAGGTCTATTATGTTTTAACAATTGTGTTAATATATCATAATTTTTTAATGATTACTTGATATGACTATTTTTTCTAGCATAGAAGAAACTATATAGAAGAATATGGATTGTTTTATCACGATATTGACGAAATATCTTTTACAAATGATCGTTGAGAGATATCGTATATCTTGGTTTGAATTAGGATTATATATTTTTGCGACAAACAGAATAAATTTTTTTTTTTTTTATTAAGTAGTGGAGAAAGATTGATTGTTAGTAATTTTATTGTTAAACTATCAGCATAACGTAAATAATACTATTGAAAAGTTTTGTTACATTATGGTAAAAAAAAAATGTGAAAGTCAATTTAAAATTAGCAATTGAAATTTTTATTTAATCATTAATAAACATTATTATTAATTGACTGTCGTATTTTATGAAAATTTTTGATATCATAGAGTGAGTTAATAAGCGACAAATTTGTTTTCATAGAACAGTAATTATTTAGTGAACTGGCAAATTTTTTGTTTTTCAGAAAATATTTCATAATGCTTTGACGTTTTCAATTTTAATAATCTATGATAGACATTAAGAATATTATATTAATGCACTTTTCAAATTGTTCAAATACAATGCAAAATTTTTTTTTTTCCTTGAACGATAGTGTATGATTACATCAAATTTTATAACGATGTATTGGAGTTACAATGCTTTTTAGTATATTATAATTGTCAACACAAGTAAAAATGTTTATTTGATGGAAATTGAATATGACTTGAAAATTTTTTATATAATTGATTCTATAGTAGTATTTAATTTTACCTAAGAGGTTGACGCTCAATATGGGAGCTCACATAGTCTGAATTACCTACTCATATTTCTTGTTATGATCATTCAAGCAATTCGTATTTCTGACGTCAAGGTATTAAATGGAATGTGAACTTAAGATCATATATGCACTTGATATTCATAAATAATTCTAGTAAATCAAAGTCATATCTCACGTATCCTAACTTCTGTGATAAGTCTTGAACATACTATTATTAAACGTAAGCCAGGTCAGTCATTACTGATCGCGGCAAAATCGAAACCATCTTGCCCATATCTACCTATTATACTAATTACAATATTTGAACTATATCTGCATTATTATAATCCCTATCTTACTAAACTAGAAATAAAAATAAAAATAAAAATATGAATAATGATTATATCTGTATCGGCAGTGTTTCATATAAAAAAAAAGATTTTGTCAAAAATAAAAAAAGTAGTGAAGAAGAGACATTCAAATATAACAACAACGACTAAATGCTTATCTGATCAATACACTACACAATATACTGTGATAACAATGATTTGAAAAAAAAAATGTAGAATAAAAAAAGTGAAAAATGAAAAGAAAGTATTGTATGCTATACATACATTTGATATACTCAATAAAAGAAAAAAGCATTCAATGATCGTTAGATGTAGAGAAAAAGAATTAAAACATCAAAAATCATATTTTCTAGAAAAGATCATTGTTCGATAATTGAACATATTCATTATTGTTTTTTATATTAGCCATAGCTTCTAAGAGATCTAATAAAAAATAAAAATAAACAAAAGAGAAAAACAAATCATACTTCTTACCAAAATAAAGTGGAGTAAAATGAAGTTGTAATGTATGTTCATCAATAGTTATCAATTGAGGATTAAAAATAGGTTGATCTTGTTGTGGTGACATTTGTATCGAAATATTTGGTTGTTGTTGTTGAGCGATAAGAGTCGATTGTGATTGTACTTGTGTCGGTACAGATGATTGAAGAACAGTAGTAACAGGACGTGAAGGTGGTGAATCTTCATCAACTTCACTTTCATCACTAGTTACAGGTGGTGACGCTGGTAAACCCATACATTCATGAATCAAACGCATAACATCTGCACGATCATAATCATGTTGACGTACAGATGATGGAAAACTACAAAACAATGAATTGTTTTTTTTTCCTCGATATTCCATAGAAAAAGACACACCGTCGAAAAAAACTATTGATACGTTGTTCGATTGCTACGTCGGACATTTGTGGATTGAGTTTGAGTAATTGAAGAATTTTGTGTCTAAAACAAAAAATATTGAAATTTCGTTTATATATAAATAATTAATTCTATTAATTACTTACACAAGAAATACTTCAATTCCACCTTCACTTGCTACTGCATCAACATGTAATCGTCGAAAACCAAGACGTCGATTATGTAAATATTGTCGAATTAATGGAGCATCATGTCGCGTTAATATATATGCTGTTAATTCACCTTCACCCCATGGACGTGATGATGATTGTTCACGGATGACCGTTACTCCTAAAATCTAAAAGAAAAACAAAGTACACACTTTAAAATAAGTTTTATTGAACAAGAAAAACAATGACGCACACGTGCACCATGAATTTCGCGTTTTAATAATATTTCCCATTCATGTGGTTGCATCATATGATCAAGATTGTGTACGATTAACATGACTAATGTCGAATCTGCACTTGAAGATCTACGAATATTAGACAAAAAATAAAAATAAAAAACAATAACAAAAATTAGTAAAAATTAAATATACTCCTCATGCTCATCTTCACCGTATTGTGAATGAGTGCTGATGTCTGTAAATGTATGAAAGATCAATCTTTTATGTAAGAAACCAGTTTTTTTTATGCAAGAAAAAACTCACTATTTCGTCCTCGTCCGTACATTCTTGTGTGTATTTGTTACTTCTATTATCGTCGTTGTTGTGTTCGTGTCTACCGTAACTGAAATGTAGAAATGAATAGAATTATTCATATTATTCGTCTTTATTTATTCATCTCTCTCTTTCAATTTATCACATGGTACATTATACTTTAGTCAGTTGGTTAAGTTTTATGTATTTTCAATATGATTCATCAGAATCTTTTCTTTACTATTGTGTCTAGTTTATTATTCGTTGTTTCTGATTAAAAAAAAAAACAAGAAAAGAAAACGAATAATAAATAATTATAAACCAAAAAAAAAAATAAAAGGTTCATTTTTCTCTTTAAACGGGATGTAATGCAGTGTTCGAAAAACTGCTTATTTAAAACAGAAAAATGTACTATTCGTATCATTTTCTCATTATTTTAGTTGTCAATCAATAAAGTATCAATCATTTTTCAATAATACAATATACAATTGCAACATCACTCCTCATCAGTAGATATCTTCCGATATAAAAGTATATACAAAAGAAACATTTGTAATTGCTTTTATGATGTAACAAGAGAAAATAAGCAGTAGTAATACTTTTTGCAAAATCGATACAACAAGAAAATTCTAATAACGAAATAAAGAAAACAAATATACGTATTTTATTATTTATCATGTAATGATATTATTCATACATTCTTTTATTTAAGTTAGCGATTAAGTAAGTTAATTTTAGGACATCGATGTTATTTGAATTTACAATTACCGTCATCGAGTTTGATGTTTTGGAAAAATATTTTTTCAATTGTTGAATCAAAAGTGCAATCTTTGAGAATTAACAATAACGATTCATTTGCTTCATTAAAATTAGTTCCAAATGTAAAATCAATTATTATATCTTCATCATATAGTTTAGCAGAAGAACATTTAGAATTAATCCTAAAGATTGATCGATTTAAAAAAATACGTTCATTAATAATGAAGTTCAATGAATTATTTTTTACACCATCATTGTATGATAATTCAGTTAATCAAGATCTTTTATTATAAAAACTATTTAATAATAAAAACTATAAATATATTCGAATATTCATCTAGTAGTATTCAATTATTGCCACAACATCTATTGATAATTTAAAATTAAAATTAAGACAATTTGTGGATTTATTTTCCATTATGGAATATACATCTAGTTTAAAATACTTAAGGCCCTTGTGACGAAAATTTCGATTTTTGAGCTTTGTACATGGTCGAATAGTCCACATTTTCCACTTTCGGAATCACTATTATTCTTAGGCTTTACGATCGTTTCGAAAGGTTTTCTGATGTTTTTTTCGCGACTTCCATGAGGTTTTGTAAAAAATTCACCAGCAGAAAATTTTTGTTTTTGAAACACTCTGACTTTGCCAATAGGCTTCTGATTTGGAGAACATATTCTGCATACTCCGGCAAGTACAATTCATGCATTCCTTTCATGTAATCTCTCATAAATCGTTCGACAAAGGAAAAAAGCCTGGATTTCTAAAGTTCAACTTTGTTTACCGTTTTTCTGTTGTTTTTTGTTTATGCATCCCAGATTTCTCAGTCATTTTACATGCTATAAGACTCGAGAAGGTTCCAAATTGAAGAGAATATTATGCTCAACAACTCATTAGAGTCGGAGTTTTACTTAGGCTTGGCTTTTGAGAAAAATGGATCTTTTTTCATAGAAGTATCCCTATTTGTTCGAACTTTTTAAGAAAAACTAACACGAAAAATTAACAAAGAACTTTTACTAGCGCTTTGAAATCATCAAAGTGTTCTCTATCCAATACTGAAACTCAAAGGTTTGTAGCTCGTTTCTAGGTCAAATGCCTAAGGTATCTTTAGGAACTGCTTTAAAATTATGCCCAACTTTGCATCTCTCTTGGACATAGCCATGCGATTTCCAAGGCTTGTCATATAGTGAAGCTTCATCAGCACATCTAGCTCTAGCATTCCTGAAGTTTTCGTTGTTTTCCAATGAGATTTGACTGAGAAAAGCGACTTTGAAGGTTTTGCATCGTATTTATAAAAGGTATAAGTGTCATTTTCTCGGAGAAAACTGCAAAATCGACTTTTGCCATCAAACAGCATCGACCAAAAACGAAAGCTTCAGGAATGATAGAGCTAGGCATGCTGGTAAAGGTCCACTATAGAAAAGTTTCGAGACTCTCGTGTTTGTGTCCAAGAAGGGTACTAAGCTGGGAAAACGGGTGTGGGTATATATGTGGATCATTGAAAGATCAAAACATCTATATTCTCCAGTGAGGACAGCTCCTTGCATACTTGCCACTCATGGGCAATGAACAAAACTCCTTTTCGTGACAAGTGAAAGATATAAAGTTATTGGATTAATATACTGAAATCACTAAATAAATAATCAATCTGATAAATTATACAATTAATAAAAAAATTCAAAAATTCAAAATAAGCAACAATAATAGAAATGCAGAACTAAAGTGCATGTCTCGCTATGGATACTACCGAAGAGAAGATGCACATTCACCCATACCCACACTCTCTGAATTGTGGCAAGTCAATCTGTATTCTTTGGAGAGTTAGCTTAGCATTTTTTAGTTTAAGAATGAGACCGGTGAGTGGGTAAGTAGAGATTGGGATGTTAAGGTGAAAATGGAGAGGAAATCAACACTAGACTTCATCTTCATCTACACCAATGCCTTCAACATGTCGATCCATCCATGCTATTTGAAATTTTTGGCATGCATGCTGATTGTTAGTAGTACTTACAATGGAGCTATTTGTTATGTTAGTTCATTTGATTAACTATATTTAAACCAAATTATCACTCTCAATGAGAAACTATCAAATTAAAAATATGAGCTGCTAATGGAGAGCCTCAATTGACATATTCAAATTTTAAGGCAATAACAATTTAGATACATACGTACCAATCCACAAAAAACCACGACTCACTCATGCAGAAGTTGCTCGATCCAGATCAGTACATTTTACTCAACTCAATATATGTCGTACCCATGTAAAAAAAATAAGGCTAAAAATCAACAGACCCGTGATTTTAATCAATTTCAAGCATAATTAATCGATGAAAACCAATAAATTTAGATTTTTTTTGATTAAATTCCAGATTTTAATCGATTTATTTACATAATTGATTCGGAATCAATGAATTTTCTCCGATTATCATCAATTTTCTTTATGTTAATCGAATAAAATCGATTATTAATGACTATAATCAGTTTTCTAAGATTTTTAGTAATCAATTAGAATCGATTTTCAAAAATAATCCATTTTAATCAGTATTTGATGGTTTTTTGGTCATCTAAAATCAACTATCACGCATGGTAATCTACTAAAATTGATTACGCATTCGAATCGATTATAATCATGGATTTCAGAATCAACTATAATTCAATGAAGCTGATTATAATCTAACTAAATCGATTATAATCAACAATTAATGAATTGCGTAAAATCAAATGACACTTTTTATAATTCAAGAAAATCGATTAAAATCCCGAATCGACCATAATCATTGAATTAAAAACCACCCAAAACAGCTGATATTGATTATAATCTACCTACGTACAAAAAATCAGGCTAAAAATCAACAGATCTTTGATTTTAATCGACGTCACGAGTAATTAATCGATGAAAACCAAGAAAATTCGATTTTTTTGGATTAAATTCAATATTATTACCGATTTCTTTGTTTAATTGATTTGGGATCAATAATTTTTCTCCGATTATCATCAATTTTGTTTTATTGAAATGGGAGAAAATCCATCGTTAGCGACTATGATCGGTTTTCTACGATTTTTTCTCAATCAATTACAATCTGGGTGTGGGTGTGGGGGTGTGGGTGTGGGTGTGGGGGTGTGGGTGTGGGTGTGGGTGTGTGGTGNTCTAATATTCCAGTAAAATTTGACACTTAAAAATGATCATTAGTGAAAACAACCTATAATTAAATGAAATAATTTTAAAAAAAACACAATAAGAATTACACTTAAGGTTTATACTAAAATGTCAGCTACAAGGTATTTTTACATTCATAATAGAACATCTCCTTGAGAAATGCCGTTGGAAATCAACACCTCATACTCTTCTAGTCATCATATCTGTGAATATTTTATATTGTAGACGAAAGCACGTAACAATTCTTATCTTTATATTAAAAAAATGTTTCATGTTATGGCTTGATAAACATTGGTAAGAAAGAAAGAAAGTATATTTTATTTTAAACAAAAAAAGATATAATAATGCAAAATATTTTGTAGATCAAAATGATTTAGTAGAGAATATTGTCATATTTTGAATTTATTTATTTTATTCATTGATTCATTTTTTATTCATCAAAATATTAGTGATTTTATATCAGTTAAAAGATTTTTTTATAATAAATCGGATCTAAAATTATCTATTAATGATAAAAAATTTGTTTTTATAGTCATTTTTGATAGTATTGTAAAGTCAGACTATGAACGTCAATTATCATTTATAAAATAATACTTATGTTTTTAAATGTTATTTCCAAAGTCAATATCTATTTGATTTTAAAGAAAAATTTAGAAATATTTTTTGCTGCATTTTAGTATAAACCTTAAGTGTAATTCTTATTGTGTTTTTTTTAAAATTATTTCATTTAATTATAGGTTGTTTTCACTAATGATCATTTTTAAGTGTCAAATTTTACTGGAATATTAGATTGGATTTATTTTTTATTTTTATAATATCATATTTGATTAGGTCTTAGTTACAATGTATTATTTTTAATAAAATTATTTATCGTTTAATTCTTCATATATAAAAAATCTTTTTTATTTTTGTTGTAGAATCATATACGATTATCAATAATTTTAAACTTCTAAAGTTTGTATCAATTGTCTAGATAAGATATTTGTATTTATTGAATTTGTAATTGTTCGTAACTTTGCATTACTCTTTTGAAGCTATGAAATAGATAAAAATTAATCGATTATTGATTAAGCTTTATGTCATGAATAATCGAATGTTAAAGTTTACATTTGGAAATATTATTTAGTTCTGACATTAAACATATTAGTTAACTTTTTCATCATCGGATAAACTATATTGATTAGAAAATAAATTAATAATTTTCATAGAAAAAAAAATTTTTTTCTTGATCATTGAGTTTCGAGGATTTTCAATGATACAATATTTCATTTAATATTTTAATCTTTTTTGATTAAAATAGATTATAATAGTTCTTTAAGAGACTTAGAAGTTAATTAACAATATATTAAAAATGAGAGACGTTTCTCTCATCATTATGAGCAAATATGTGATTGCATTTTTATTTCATTTTTCTAATAGTATAACCTATGATTGTGCTTTTTTTGATAGCATTAGCATATGATTGTTTTCTTGATTTCGCTTTATGAATAATGGTTTTTCAGTAGAGGATGTAGTATAAGGAAAAAATAGTTATGTCGTTTGAAGGACAAATGAATAATATGTTTTTTTTTTATGTAGAACAATTATCATCCTTATATGTAAAACGAGGTTTTACTTATTGAATGTCAATTAAGAGAGAAAATGCAGGTTTAGAACTTTTAGCACCTTTTGATACTGAAATACTGGCATATATTTGAACTTAGACTGAACATTAAGATGATAGCTAGAAGTGAGAGTTATGCTATTTTTGAATTTTTTCAATTAAGACAAGGCTATTTTTCGAAAATAACGTTTTTTTTTTTTTTTTATAAAACTTGAGTATAGGTTTCCGGAGTAGAGAAATTCGAATCTCTAATTAGTTTTCCAAAATTCTCAAGTTCGATTTTTTCAGTCAATGAAAGCCAATTTCCTACAATTTGCTCATGTTTCATAACGTTAAAGTATTTATTTGCAATATGCTTTCTCTAACTGGAAAAATTGAACTCAACTATTTCGAAACATCGATTAGGGATTCGAATTCATCAATCTCGAAAACCTTCAGTGAAGTTTTATAAGGAATAATGAATTGAAATAGTATGACTCGCACTCATAGATACAGTACCTCGAAGTAAAATTTGATGCTCACGTGCTGCACT